CAGCAGCAAGTACCGTTCTGAGCTCGCAGTATTCCTCGCCCAGGGACTGGGGGCTGCTGCCCCCCAAAGAAGCAGCAAAATATATAACCTGAACAAACGAGCGAGCAGCGTGCTGCTGCTGCTGCAGCAGCAAACACCAGTCTGCTGCTGCAGCACGAGCCGAACGCAGCCACCGCCTCCATGATGCAATGCTGCTGCTGCTGCTGCTGCTGCTGCTGCTGCTGCTGCTGCTGCTGCTGTTAGCGTTGGAAGAAGTACCGTGGCTTGTGGATAGGCGTCTGCTGCTTCTGCTGTTGCTGCTGCTGCTGCTGCTGCTGCTGTTGCTGTTGCTGCTGCCTGCAGCAGCAATGCTATGTCTTCGCTGTGGCGGTGCTGGGGCGGGCCGCAGCAGCTGCTGCAGCTGCTGCAGCAGCTGCTGCAGCTGCTGCGTATACACCCGGCAGTAGAAATCGTCTTTCTGGGCGGCTCGCAGCAGCTCCAAGTGAGAGGCATCTGCAGCAAGAGTGTTGCTGCAGCTGCTGCTGCTGCTGCTGCTGCTGCTGCTGCTGTTGCTGCTCTCGGCAACAGCCATCCTGCTGATGATGATAATACAGCTCCTGCTGCTCCTGCTGCTGCTGCTGCTGCTGCTGCTGTTGAGGTGCAGCAGATGTGGTAGAAGACAACGCCTATGCACGAGCTGCCCTTAACACATTTGCTGTTCCAGTTGCTGCTGCTGCTGCTGCTGCTGCTGCAGGGAAGCAGCAGCAGCTGCTGCTGCTGTTGCTGCTGTTGCTCCTGCTGTTGTTGGTGGTGCTTCTGCTGCTGCTGCTGAAGCTGTTTTCGCTGCTGCTGGCGTTCCAGTTGTTGGCGCAGAAGCTGCTGCAATTCCTGCTGCTGCTCTTGCTGCTGCTGCCTCTGCTGCTGCTGTTCGGCTGCTACCCCCCTGCCACAGCAGCAACAGCAGCAGCACCAGCAGCAGCAGCAGCAGCAGCGCGCATGTGAGCTGTGTAAACGGTGCTGCCCAGAGGCGCTCGCACGGAAGAACAGCAGCAGCAGCAGCAGCAGCAGCAACAGTAATATAACATGAGTTGCAGCACAAACCGAAATAGGAA